GTTAGATGTCATGCCCAGCTGTGGGGGACGTTAGAGGTCATGCCCAGCTGTGGGGGACGTTATAGGTCATGCCCAGCTGTGGGGGACGTTAGAGGTCATGCCCAGCTGTGGGAGACGTTAGAGGTCATGCCCAGCTGTGGGGGACGTTAGAGGTCATGCCCAGCTGTGGAGGCACGTTAGAGGTCATGTCCAGCTGTAGGGGGGCGTTAGAGGTCATGCCCAGCTGTAAAGGGGACGTTAGAGGTCATGCCCAGCAGTAAAAGGGACGTTAGAGGCCATGCCCAGCTCTAAAGAGGACGTTAGAAGTCATGCCCAGCTGTGGGGGCACGTTAGAGGTCATGCCCAGCTGTAGAGGCACGTTAGATGTCATGCCCAGCTGTGGGGGCACGTTAGAGGTCATGCCCAGCTGTAGAGGCACGTTGGATGTCATGCCCAGCTGTGGGAGGGACGTTAGAGGTCATGCCCAGCTGTGGGGGACGTTAGAGGTCATGCCCAGCTGTGGGGAGACGTTAGGGGTCATGTCCGGCTGTGGGGGACGTTAGAGGTCATGCCCAGCTGTGGGAGGACGTTAGAGGTCATGCCCAGCTGTGGGAGGACGTTAGAGGTCATGCCCAGCTCTGGGAGGACATTAAAGGTCATGCCAAACTGTGGGAGCACGTAAAAAGTCATGCCCAGCTGTGGGGGACGTTAGAGGTCATGCCAGCTGTAGTGGCACGTTAGAGGTCATGCCCAGCTGTGGGGGACGTTAGAGGTCATGCCCAGCTGTGGAGGACGTTAGAGGTCATGCCCAGCTGTGAGGGGACGTTAGAGGACATGCCCAGCTGTAAAGGGGACGTTAGAGGTCACGCCCAGCTGTGGGGTACGTTAGAGGTCATGCCCAGCTGTGGGGGACGTTAGAAGTCGTGCCCAGCATTAGGGGACGTTATAGGTCATGCCCAGCTGTGGGGGGACGTTAGAGGTCATGCCAGCTGTAAAGGGGACGTTAGAGGTCATGCCCAGCTGTAGAGGGGACGTTAGATGACGTTAGAGGTCATGCCCAGCTGTGAGGGACGTTAGAGGTCATGCCCAGCTGTGGAGGCACGTTAGAGGTCATGCCCAGCTGTAGGGGGGCGTTAGAGGTCATGCCCAGCTGTAAAGGGGACGTTAGAGGTCATGCCCAGCTGTAAAGAGGACGTTAGAGGTCATGCCCAGACGTGATAAGATGGCGTAGGTTTCTCTCACTGTACAATACAATTTCTACAAAACTTATGTACTACTGCATTAGATTACTGGTAATTAGATTGCGATTAAATGAGCTAATATTGGTACAAATTCCACTTTACATTTCTTATGGTTTCCTGCCTGTATTGTGTGCCAAGCCCTACTTCACCAACACAAATAATCTCCCGAATCCGAATGTTATTTCTACGCGACAAATGGGAGGTATCGATAACTTCACTTATTATAATGTTATTCGTGCCTGACTCATTCAGCCATTAATAATCACGCTGGCTTCTAATGCCATTCCTACCCGACACATGGGATCACTGGTCACTTCATTTAACACTAAAGCGACTATACCCTAAATCACGGAATTATTGTTCACTGCTCTCATACGTGACACTATTCCTACCTGAAACATACGTTTTCCTGAACCCGCTTTTCTAATAATATTCCCGTGTGAACAGCGGAAATGGGGTATTAATATAAAAATAGGTAAGGGTTCTTAACTCCATCAGCCGATCACTGGCGGCTTTTCAAACTAAGCTAGCATATTATGCTAGCTCAAAGGGGAACCTAGAGAAACTTATTTTCCAGCACTTATTTCAATGGTTCCCCGTGGAAATAATTGCTAGAAAAAAGGTTTCCACTAGGATTAACTGCTACAAAATTGGTTCCCTGTGATAATATTCTAGGGGAACTTATTTTCTAGCAGTTATTTCTACGGGGGATGCATGTATTTCCACTGGGTGATAAAAAATCACAGACGAATAATTGGCCGCCAAGTGTACAGTACACCGTCCTTCACGTACACGTAGGAGGCTACATGTACATAGGTTGAAAAGTTTATTTAGGCCGCTACGTGTAGCTATAGGTCGCTACATGTACTTCGGCCGCCACGTGTACTTATCGTGTACTTAGGACGCCACGTGTAATTATGACGCCACGTGTATTTTGGACGCTGACTGTACTGAGGTCGCTACGTGTACCTAGGACGTTACATATACTTAAACCGCTACATGTACGTAGATCCTTACCTTCAGTATTACTCTCCATGTACTTGGGCCGCTACAAGTACCTAGATCGTTACATTCACTTAGGACTCTCTATGTACGTATATTTATGCCGGTACATGTATCTACATCATTACGTTTACTTAGAACGCTACATGCACCAAAGCCCGCTACATGTACATAATTAAATTTTGATGTTACATCCCCATATCGATCACTCACTCTCTGGTGTCGTTATTGATGTCCATAATAACATATGGCGTATGGTTGGTTTGGATGAGCATCCGCACAGGGTTGGTGACATCGTGGAAGCCGCGGATGTTGACATGAACTTCCAGACGACACTTGTCGCCGCTCTCCAGGAAATACGGCGATCGTATCTGCGCCATGGTGTTGGAGTAATTCGTTCTGGGGTACAGACCCATGAACAGGAACTGGCCTGCACAGAACAACAACATACTCGTATAATAATAATAATAATCATAATAATTAATTATAATAATATATAATAATATTAATAATTAATAATAATAATAATCATCATAATAGCTGGACGATATTATTTTAATTATTGATGAGGCATGTTGATGTAACTATAGCAATAAATTCTTATTTAGTCTATGGGTAATTTAGGTTTTGTAATTTTTGACGAGGATTGAAGAGTTGATGAAAATGTGATCAAGAGTGGTAGAAAAAAATAAGCGCGAGGGCATGAGGCGCAATGGGCGAGGACATGAGGCATAATGGGCGAGGACATGAGGCGCAATGGACGAGGGCATGAGGCACAATGTGTTATTTTGAGGTATGAACTCTCACTATGAGTATGTATGATTTTATGATTATATTTTCACAAAACTGATTGAATAGCCAGCTGTTAGAAAAAATAGCGTTATTAATACTAATTATACGTCAATACTAAATAATTTTATATCAAAATTAAAAGCTAGTATCAGAGTTGGGTAGCAGTTTGACACGTGTATGAATAATATTAAATAATTGAAAGCTGGCAGCAAAGTCCGTAGAGTTCACGTCACATAGAATTTGCAATGAAACATTGGTTCTAATTTCCGTTGACTGAATAGCGGACGGAAATGAGTTCCTTGAACGTGATTTTCTACACGGAACATTCTATTGTACACACCTCCTTAGACAGGGTCATGGTTGATGGTAAAAACTAATTTATTTTGGATAATTTTTAAACTTCACGGACGAATTAAAGTCAAGTGTTTCTTTGAAGTTTTGACCATGAATAAATATATGGGGCGTACGAGGGCGTTCATATATTGTCGGGGTATTGTCTTATTCGAGAATTTTATTTTTTGGACTAATCACTAGGCCTTGAAAATTGTAATTGACGAAAATTAAAATTTTTCGCAATTAGAGTTACAGTTATAAGTAAAATAAAGATTGAAAAGAGGGATTCCTTGATTAACTTTACTTTAGGTTCTTTGAACATCGTTGTTCTCAGACCTCGAGATAGACCAGCACCAAGACAGAGACAGACCATTGCCAATGCTCAATAGGTTTGCAGAATCCTCAATTTGTTCCTGAATTTCAGGATTTTGCATCCTTAAATGGGAATTACCCAGAAAAATGGCCTCTTAGTATCGTCCAGTAAAAAAAGTTAAGCAAAATATCTCAGCGACCTTTGATGAGAACTGAACAGATCTTCACGAAAAAAATTTGGAAATATAAACGGGGCTAAACGTTTGCAAAAGAGAAATTACTGGTCCAGTACCCCCGGGGGTACCACAGCTCCAGTACCAGCCACAGGTCCCCTCCCCCGAGGGTACCACAGCTCCAGTACCAGCCACAGGTCCCCTCCCCCGAGGGTACCACAGCTCCAGTACCAACAACAGGTCCAGGATACCACAGGCACAGGATACCACAGCTCATATCCTAGTCACGACAGGTTATCACAATCCTGCATCACATTCATTATCCCGGTGCTGAATTCTATTCATGAACTGCTGTACGCACGATGCCAGCTGCGCTGCTGCAGTTGGCACGCGTCAGCAGCTGGTGGCAGGAGCCAACTTTAATGCGTTCCTGCGTCAGCATCTTGACGTCAGCGGCGACGGTTAGACGTGGCAGCGTTGACGGGATGGCGGCTACGGTGGCAACGGCATCAGCCTGACTTCAGTGGGGCTAGCAAGACATCAGTCATGGCAAGACATCAGCAGCTTTATTGTGACGTCAATGACCCTTGTATGACGTCAGCAGCCCTAGCGTGACGTCAGTGACCCTAGCGTGACGTCAGCGGCTCTAGCGTGACGTCAGCGGCCCTAGCAAGACATCAGCAGCTTTATTGTGACGTCAGTGACCCTAGTATGACGTCAGCGGCCCTAGAGTGACGTCAGCGGCCCCAACGTGACGTCAGCGGCCCCAGCGTGACGTCAGCGGCCCTAGCATGACGTCAGCGGCCCCAGCGTATCGCCAGCGACCCTAGCGTGACGTCAGCGGCCCTAGCGTGACGTCAGCGATCCCTGTATGACGTCAGCGGCCCTAGCGTGACGTCAGTGGCCCTAGCGTGACGTCAGCGATCCCTGTATGACGTCAATGACCCTAGCGTGACGTCAGCGGCCCTAGCGTGACGTAATCGGCCCTAGCGTGACGTCAGCGGCCCTCGCGTATCGCCAGCGGCCCTAGCGTGACGTCAGCGGCCCTAGCGTGACGTCAGCGGCCCTTGTATGACGTCAGCGGCCCTAGCGTGACGTCAGCGGCCCTAGNTTCGTGGACACGAACTGCGTGACTTGGTGGACAGGGAGCGTTCGTGGACACGAACTGCGTGACTTGGTGGACAGGAAGCGTTCGTGGACACGAACTGCGTGACTTGGTGGACAGGGAGCGTTCGTGGACACGAACTGCGTGACTTGGTGGACAGGGAGCGTTCGTGGACACGAACTGCGTGACTTGGTGGACAGGGAGCGTTCGTGAACACGAACGTCGTACTGAAGGCATGAGTGTACTCACTGGAACGTGAGTCAACATCCGAGTGATTAAATGTATAAAATATGGCTATCATTATTTGATCATTCAAATCATCATCAGTCATTATTTGACTAATAATTGCAAATGATAGCACAGACCTCTAGCGCACACAGAGACACCGGATGCTGTGTGAATCAAGTTCGCGCGCCTGTTCTGCGTGTTCTATTATTTTTTTTTGTGAGCCTGAATTCTTGTGATTCCAGCGAAAATTTTTTGTAAGAGGAAGGATATAAATATATATATTTTATATTTGTATCCCATTATTAATTTATTATTTACATTATTAATTATTATTATTTATATTATTATTAATATTATATTATATATTTGATATATTCTTGACCGAATGATATAAACTTATAAACAACAAAAATTATTCGCGTATGTCAGTGTATCGTCGAAGTTAATTACGCATGCGTGCTTCGTCGCTGAGCTGCATATACTGCATACACGCTATGACGAGGCTGAGAGTTTATCATCAATCATTGCAATCTTGCTTATATTTTGATAAGCAAGATAATCGTGCTCGTGGTCGTGCAATCGAAAACTATTTTCCCGTGACAGCTAATGTCAGAGAAATACCTCAAACGAAAATTCCGCAATTTTTCAATACCAAGGTGGCGATTGAGCATTTACTTAGTAGTATAATCTTCTTAAGCATTTGATACCAATTTAATCTTCTTCACAACTCGCACAATATTAATATCATAAGATATCGCTGACTTGATGGCTATATTCCTTTACACGTAAGAATATTCGTACGTGTAAAGGAATAACGATTATTTCAGCACAGATGCTCGCAAGAAACGTCATAAGAAGCAGCACAGATTGTCACAGCCGTCAGGGTTTGAATGAGGTCCAATCAGACTGACTTCCACACATGTGTGACGAGTGTATGTGCTGTGTGGATGCCTACACATGTGTGACGAGTGTATATGCTGTGTGGCTGCCTACACATGTGTGACGAGTGTATATGTTGTGTGGCTACCTACACATGTGTGATGTGAGTTGCTATGAGGTACACATGTGTGTGCCCAAGCATAGTCTGATTAGGACATGAATATAACACGTATTATTTGCAGTTCGCAGCACATTTGATTCGTTTGGTGCATTTATCACTTCATAAAGGTGCCTATACTATTACTGGCATATACGATCATTGTCATATACAATTACTGGCCAATACAATTGCTTACATAAGATTAGTTGCACATGAAATTGCTGACAAAAATTTGACAGCTAAAACACGATATCTTGCACGAACGATTGTTGAAAACAACTATTACTAACATTTAAGATTGCTGACACATTCAATTGCTGACTCGTACGACTGCTTTTCCATTTGAAGGCCAGCTCTTACGATTGCCAGCACTGCACTGGAGAGACGTGCAGTGCCGGCAATACGCAGTGCAACAACAACAGCAGCAGCAACAACAGCAGCAACAATAACGACAGCAACAGCAGCAGCAACAACAACAGCAGCAGCAACAACAACGAAAGCAACAGCAGCAACAACAACAGCAGCAGCAACAACAGCAGCAGTAAACAGCAGCAGCAACAATAACGACAGCAACAGCAGCAACAACAACAGCAGCAGCAACAACAACGACAGCAACAGCAGCAGCAACAACAACAACAGCAGCAGCAACAACAGCAGCAGTAAACAGCAGCAGTAAACCTGTCTCTTATACACATCTAGATGTGTATAAGAGACAGGTGTTGTCCGCAGGGACGCGCCCGTGCCAAGCCTTCATTAGCGCCGCCGACGAATGAATGTTCTGCGCCGACGCAAACTTTGTTGTGTCGACCGCACGCTTAGCTGGTCTTGGCCAGCGCTGACACTTGGGCTGAACTGCGTGCGCTAAAGTGCGTGCGCTGAACTGGGAC